GATTTAAGCTATTCAGTCTAAACATTTATGTTTTCATGTTATAATCTGTAGTCATTTTAGAATGAAAAAGGCATAATTTATATTTATTTTTCTAATTTTTTTACAAGATCGGTCAAATCTACCGAACCCGTACAGAGATTCATTAGTGAAAATAACAGAATATAAAGTTTTTTTCTTAAGAAACATTTGATAACTATCTGGACATTATAAAGATTTTGAATGTGAAATTTCAAAATTTTCTGATGCATAAAAGTATTTTTGAGCTTTAAATGAAAATTACTTTGCATGTTGGATGATAGGCAAGATGCGAAAAGAAAAAAAAAGGCATGAGAAAAACATTGCTCTACAAAACTTAAGACTTAATAAAAAAAACTGATATTTACTTATGAAAGCATTGTAATTTTTACTGATAATCTGCCAAATTTCGTTAACATACACTTACTAATTTAAAAGTTATAGTATGAAAACTATAACAAGCACAAAATGGTTACGAGGTCGGCCCCAGGGATCGAGCCCATGCTGAAAGTGTTAATGCAATGTCAATCAAAAAGAGTCAAACTTTATTAAACATTCCAATTTTGAATACGAAGCTGATGACATACAGGAGTCAACTGTGCACTGACAATAAATATCAAGTTTTCTGTTACAGCATTTTTTAAAAGTGTCAACAAATGGTCAATAGAACTAAGTCATTGCAACTATTTTACACCTTTATAGCGACAGGTTTTAACCTTTCAGCTAAGAATTCTGAACATTTTAGTCAAATACTTTCAATTTGTCCTATCATAATTAGCATTACTGAGAATAAGATTCACATATTTCAGTTACTTAAAAGTTAATAAAATAATAATAATTATGAAAATATGATATAGTGTGGAGAAGTTCATTTTCTTTATTGATCTAAAATTTACATAACAATAAAGACTTTTTAACTTAATTATAAGATATGTTTCTGCAAAGCAGGAGTATTCAATGAATCATGGAAAACATTGCAAGTGAGCTCAACATTTTAACAACTAGTTTTAAGAGGCCCTTTCAATATTTTTAAAATGAGTTTAAAAGGTAAATCTTTATCCATGGCCATATAGAATTATGTGTGGTTCCTGTTACACTGAAAAATGGGGAATGTGGGTAGAAATAAACTTTTTTATTCTAAATGCATAAAATATTTTTTTAAGTTTGCAGGTTTTTGCTGCAATATATTTCTTTTCAAGAGAAACATACTACCAATCTCAGAATGGCTTTCATGTTAAATACGTACTAATGATGCATACAATACCCCACGTTATTTCTCATTTTGTATTCTTACTGGTGGCTTGATAGCAGAATATTCTAGATTCATAAACTAGTTTTGTATGCATTATTTATTGCTCTGCTGCTACATTCTCTAATATGAACTAACAATGCCTAACCAACTTTAGCTTGCATTTTATAACCTACTAGTTTTACTACTGTTCACTAGCATAATATCACTTAGCTATTCAATTATCTTGCCCTTCTTAACATTATGTGGAAAATTCCAATTTTCAAAATATGCAACTTAAGCTGTGACAATGCATCCAAATACCTTACATTTTTAACTTCATAATTTAAGTGTGATGACTGTGAAAATGTTAAAAAGTAATTCAAGGAATCCTCAATAAATTTCAATAATATTATAAAATAGTCGTCCTCAGATTCAGAAACACTCATATTACCATGCTTTCTTAGCTACAAAAAGTGTAATACAGGTTAAGACAATTTAAAAGTGTTGCTTGTGAATATGTAATTCCAGGATTCTTGTGAATTTCAAGATTCAGTACTAACAAATGATCAGCCAATAAGCACTATATATTTATCTATCATAATCACACACATTTCTTTATTTTTTAAAAGAGCAGGAGGATGGGTAGTCAGAATTACACAAGTTTGCTTTTTACCCATATAGAATAAATTCTTCATTTACATAAAGCTCCAGAAAACAATTTGATCCCTGCACTATTAACTTAAAAAAAAACATTTGATAAACTTAAGAATAAGAGTAAGAACTGTGAATACTGACTTAATGAAAACAGTACATAAGGGACTATAAGGATAATTCTCAGGAAGAAAAAGTTATGCTATAGACATAGTACAAGATATTTTAACTTGTTTTTTCATGAGAAAAGAATGGTAGGTGGTGAATTTATTAGTTTACAAAAGTACCCTGGTGAGAAACTGGTAAGATAAAGGTCTACGATTTCTTTGTTCGTATTCTGAAAACACAGGATGTGTTACAGTTATGACAGTTTTATTTATTTACTAGGGTGATTGACTTAGGGACGAGTGTCAGCAATTATGGAGGCCAACACTTTTATATAAGTTTAAGAAGGGAATCTAGGATACCCTAAAAAACAAAAACTTGGGATTAATTTTCTACTTTTCTTAAGGGTTGACATCTCCAAGGGCAGTCATGAAGAATAAAATGGTTTCCTGTTGCCCACCTCATGTTATTGAAATGAGTACACAGTTAACAGTTATTGTTCTGATGCCTGTGTGTCCCTTTCTTGTTAATCTCTCAGACTACCTGCATGTTCTATTGTAAAATGGTGTTAGTAAAATACTTAGTCATTCAGTGATTTGATTTCATATTACAATGAAACATAATGCTTTCATAATAGTACTGTTATACATGTACATGTACTTACTCTATTTTCATCTATTTCACACTGTTCCACATCTTCAAACGTCACCTCATTTTTCTTGCATGATGTAGTACCAACTTCTAACATCAATTTGAATTTCCAACCTGACACCACCTGAATTAAACAAAACAAATAATTATACAAGTAAATGATAAACAGTAACCAGTATGTAAATAAAATGTAAAAATAATTATCAATTAAGCCATTTATTCCTGGAAATTACTGTTTTTATTTCATGTACATTGTTAAAATTTTCGAAATACTAGCAAGTTATAAAAAATGGATAATTTTTTTACCAAAAGCTAAGCAATTTGCCATTATATTTATACATTAACTAGTATATTGTTCAACAAATTCACTAACTTAAATAATTTACATATTAAATCTTTGTTGCTTACATAATAAACTTCCTACTTAAATTATTATTAATTTATTAGTGTCATAAACTTTCCAATTAACTTACAAAGTTAAATTACTTCATATATTTTAATATATAGTAAACAGCAACATCACATTAACCACAAAAATATATTTCTTTTCAAATATAGTAATAACTTAAGAAAAAACATCAAATGCAAACAAAACTGAAGTACATAAATAGTAAGCAAACAACACTGTTAATGTAGCATCTAAATGTGCAGAAATTTCATAACTAAAATTAAATAAAACTAAAAGTCTCTAAAGTACTGAACTTTGAAGATTAATGTCATTTACGACTGATGGAGAAGAAAAGGCATGAAACGAGAAAAAAAAGCTGATAATCATACTGAAGATGATCCATTATGTGTGTCTTTGTTGGCTTCTATCAATCACAACTGGCTGGCTCAATTACCATACATTTTTGCATGGCAACTGAAAACTGTCCAAAGATATACATGGGCCATTTTTTTTAAATAATTTTTGCCCAAGCAGGGTGAATAAACAAACCGTAAAAAGTGCACGTTTCCACTTCTTAATTTTATACATTGTTGGGTACTGTTCCATTAAACCCCCACAAATGGTAAGTTTTTAGTATTTTAATACAATGCTTATTAATATATTTTTAGAAATTTATTATGGACATTTACTGTATGAATGAAATGCATATTTATATATATATATATATATATATATATATTTATAATTATATACATTTATTTATTTTTCAAGGTTATTAAAATTGCAGAGGTATAAGTATAACAGAAAAGTACCCACTGTTAGCTGACTCAATTACCATAACTCTTAGTTTGGTAACTTGAAATTCTCTAATGATGTACATGGATTATTTTGTTTTAGAATTTTTGCTCAAAAAAAGGAATAAAAACATCCTGAAATATGGTGCATTTCCACTTTTTTTTTATACACTCTTAGCTTTGAATTTAAAGACAAGCACATAATAAGGTAAATGAGTCAATTATTACCTTCCACAAAGCAGGATATACAAACAAAATTTTATTAGGGAGTTAATAACAAAAAAAAAAGAAGGGAATATTATCTAAAATTGTTCTTTATACAAGTTTTGCTTCCCTAATAGGTACCCTCACCTCAGTTAGAGATTTTAAATAAAGTCACCACTGACGTGTGATATACAGAAAAAACAAATAAATCAACAGACGGTCAAATATGCATAATGAATTCAGTCTTCAATTTCAAATCTCTGACCAGTCATCAAAATCAATAAATGTTTTAAACAACTCATAGTTCACATCAGTTATTTTTTATTATTTACTTGTGATAGGGAATGGTTCTGAATATAACTCTATATTTGATTTTCTAAAGCTTACATTAACTTGATTAAGTTAGTTATATTTTATGTACTTTTCCAGTTCCTGCCTAACTACTCTATTACTAATAGTAATACTAGTAGTAGTATTAGTATCATATTTCTTAAGTTTAAAACTTCGGTGCAACACTAAAAGTTATTTAATCATTTATGTATCGTTTTCAACTTTCAAAGTTTCAGTCTTATGATAATAAAATCACACCAATACTATAATTTATAAATATAATTTAACTGTGGAGTAAATTAACCTAATATACTAATATTTATTATAATCTCAATGTCAGTGTAAATGTAATACTAATAGTTGTAAAGTCATAAATCACATAAGCCTGTATTACATGTTAGGCTTAGCACTTTCTACTCAAACATTCATCATAGTTGTAACTTATAATAAACTAACAAAGAAAACCTCACCTGTCTTCGAGCTTCTTGAATTTCTACTAACTTCTGATGGTAAAGCCCATTAGATCGTGTACTCATTTCTTTCACAGCGAAACCTGCAGCATTCTTAACATGTTCATCCTCAACATCCACATCTTCCCACCCTCCAAGTCTTTTCCCTATACAAGAAACTCCGATCAAAAGTAGAAAACCTACATAAACAGATAAACCCTGTCCAGCCATTTTCATATTTCAATTACCTAACAAAGTAGATTTATATGTACAACAGTCTCGTAGTCACATGACAAGGTTTCATACAATCAGCATTGATAAAACTCCAACGTCATTAAACGTCTGTCAAATCAAAAGATACGCAATGGCCTTTCGTTCTTCATGGTACTAATTTACACAGTTATCGGCTTGCACAGTGAAAATTTAGATTTGAAATCTATAGATCAATATTTTTTTTCAGCAAATTATTCAGTAAGTAGACAAAAGCTGTGATGCGAGAAATAAAAAAGCATTTAATCAAACAAAGCTTTATTTGAAATTAGAATTTACAATACTTCTTTATATACAATATTCCATATTTTTCCATATGGAGAGCATACATAAACATTATTAGCTGTTCCTACTCTAGAGCATCCTACATACAGTTGACCATGAGAGAAGCAGTCTTCTTGTAATTGTAGCCCAACAACTTTCACTGTTTGTCCCTGTGATTTGTTGATCGACATGGCAAAACTTAATCGTACTGAAAACTGTAAGCGCCTAAACTGAAATGGCATCTCTGACGTTATTAGAAGTATTTTAGGAATAAAAGTATCTTCACCCTTTCCACAACCAGTTTGAATTTGTGCTTCAATGACATAAGGCTGTAATGCAGTTATTATTAATCTGGTACCATTGCAGAGCTTAGGCTGATCTAAATTTGTAGAAGCATTATAGGAGCTCCAACTTTAAGTTGTAGTTGGTTCTTCTTGTTTCTTTTTCCTCTAACAACTGTTGTAATTTCTCTTCTCGTTCTTCTTGTTTCTTTTGCTGTTCTTGTATTGCTGCCATTAAGTCTGCTAGGCTATAGTTTGATTTGCCGCTTCTCGTTTCCATTTTTTTTTATCCCACTTTCTGACACCAATTTGTTACGCCTCCAGTCGTTACTTAATTTTCCGTAAATTCGTTCCGACGAAACTTTAGCCACACAAGTCCTTTGTTAAATAAAACTGGTTTATTCTTTCCGAATACAACTTTACCGATACACTTAATTTCAACAGTAGCTCTATAACAAACGCTAGATCGTCTCACGTGCTCCTGCTCGACAATACTCAATTACACAATCTGTGACTGCAGTTCAATTACTCATTACCTACACATTGTCCCGTCACGTTGTGACCATCTTATATATATCAGACTACCCCAATCTAATAATCTCCCGAGAATTCACGAAGGTTCGAGAAAGAAGTGGCGTGATACTAGTTACGTGACCTCTCTGACGCAACAATACAGTCATCCCCGTAAGCTTTCTCTACCAGGCTTATATATTAAGAAAGGGGGCGTCTCGAATGCACTCGGGCCTCCCCGATCGTTCATGATGATTCGAGAAATTCATCACATGTTACCAGAGTCACGTGAATTCCGCTGTCGTAACAGTATTTTTATGTTCTTGTATCATAAGAGTATCAGCAGAGCCCGGTAATTTTCCTAAAAATAGTGATGAATAAGAGCGTATATGCAACATTATTGTCTAGTGGGCCGTTTACAACTGTTTTTTGTCATTCGGTGTGTTATTTCAATAAGAAAAATTGCATGCATTTGTTTTTAAATGAAGGAGACTGACTACAATGCATTGTTGGCAAAAATGTTTGGATTTCAATGCAATGGGTGCATCTATCAAGATAGAGCTATCATATTCGTTAAGTAGCCACGGAATGTTTTTACGCTGGATGCCACCGTTCCTTATCATTTCACTCTGGGCTCGTCCTAGGGACCGATCTCGTAACCATTTTCTGCTTGTTATAGTTTTCATGCTTTAACTTTTAATACAGTAAGCGTATCTTCACGACATTTGCAGTTTATCAGTAAACATTACAAGGCTTTCCTACAAAAAATACTTGATTTTTTGTTAAGTTTTGAGATATTTTAAATAATGTTTTTCTCATTATTTTTTTCTTTTCGAATGTTGACTATTCAAAATGCAAAGTAATTATGATTTTAAGATTAAAACTACTTTAAAGCCTTCAGATAATTATCACATGTTGCTTTTAGGAAAACTTTATATTTTATCTGTTATTTTCACTATTGTATGTTCCTATAGGTCCGGTCGATTTGACTGACCTCGTAACCACCATAGAAAATTAGGAAATACCTATAAAGTATGCTTTTTTTTGTTCTAGAATGATTACAAATTATAACACAAAAACACAAATGTTTATTCTAAATAGCTTAAATCTCATAACATTATACAACTATATATATTTATTACTTTTATTACATTGACCTTTCAGCCGTGCCTGACTAACATTACAGAAATTGCAATGACGCAGTGAACATGTACTAATGTTACTGTATCCAAGAAATTCAAAGTAAACATATTCCTTATAGAAATAAAAGGGTAGCTGAAAGTAAAAAACCAGGTTTGCTCATAATGAGTTTAAGAGATAAAATTAAAGAAAAGCATAATAAATTTAAGAAATTTAAATTGACTGGTATGACAGGAGATTTAGAAGATCAAGAAACTTGGTGAAACAGGAAATTATGATATCAAAAATAATGTATGAGAAAAGTTTGGCTGAAATTGTAAAAATTCACAGTAAAGATTTCTTTAAATACATTAAGGGAAAATAAAATGTTAGGAGCGGGGTAGGAACATTGAGGGATGATAAAAGAAGGCTAGTATCTGATGATTATGAGATGGTTGGGTTATTAAATTTTGCTTTTTCTTCGGTTTTTACTAACGAAGATTTAAACGGTATTCCAAATCTTGAACAGTTGATAAATAGAAATGACATCAAACAAGATGACTGCATTAATTCAGAACTGGTTAAGAAAAAATTGGGAAGTTTAAAACAATAAGGCTCTTGAGACAGATAATATTTCCCCAAGGTTTTGAAGGAGGTTAAAGATTGGATATGTGAGCCACTTACTACTATTTTTTGTTAGTCCTTGAATAGTGGGTAGGCACCAGAGGTTTGGAAGTTAGCTATTGTAACTCCTCTTTTCAAGTGAGGTGATAAAAATTGTCCCAGTAATTATACACCCATTACCCTTACGTCAGTTGTGAGAAAAGTTTTGGAAAGTCTGTTAAAATATGCTTTGCAAAATCATTTAACAAAGTTTAGAATTTTATTGGATAGTCACCATGAGTTCAGTACGAGAAAATCTTGCCTTACAAATCTTTTGACATTCTTTGAAACGGTTACTGTTTTTGTAGATGAGGGTAAGAGTGTAGATTTGGTGTATCTGGATTTTCAGAAAGCATTTGACAAGGTACCACATAAAAGGCTTGTCAAAAAATATCTCTATAGGTGTGGGGAATAAGTTAGCAAATTGGATAGAAGAGTGGCTGGATGGATGAAAGCAGAGGGTTGTTACAAATGGAGTTCAGTCAAACTGGATTAATGTCACAAGTGGGCTACTTCAGTGCTCAATCTTAGGACCTTTGCTCTTTTTGATTTGCATCAATGACATATATGAAGGAATAAGTCAATAAATTACTTATATGTGCAGATGATATTAAGATCTCATATTAGCTGTGAAGAGGATGCTGCTGATTTACAAAAGGATTTAGATGAGTTGGGCAAATAAATGGCAGATGGGTTTAATTATAATAAGTACAAACTAATTACTATGTGGTTAGTCTATAATTTGAATTATAAGTATAATTTAGTATGGTAATAACTTAACTA